GGGGGGGGGGGGGGGGGGGGGGAGGAGGGGGACTTCAGAAAGATTGAAATACACTTATAATGGAGAGACTGAAATAACTAATATTTTGCCGCTTCAAGCAATATGGAACGCAAAAACGAGGTGCAAAATGAAATGAGACTGTAAGAAAGGGAGGGGGGAGGGGGTGAAGGCAGCACAGTTAGACAAAACGGAATACTTCGCACATTACTAGTATTGTTGGGTTCCAGGCCTCAATACCTATGATTTTTGCCGAACATGAGAGAACAATCCTGTGGGGAGAAAAAGCAAAGCACGAGCAGATTCGTCATAACGCTGCTTATCGAGATAAAGCAATGCCGGTGCGTCATGTTTCCTTCTGAAACAATAAGAAAAAAGGCAACTGACTCGTCTCCGATCAGGAAATCTGTGAGATCATCGCCATAAGCTGCCAGATCGGCGTGCCACTCGTAACAATGCCTTTTCCGTAAAGTGCAATTACGAATCAATTTTCTCTGATTTTTGAAAAATTCTAAATCTTCTTTTAGCAAATCGCTTTTCGCCCGGCGTGTGATCTGGAACTCAAGATGCTTTTTAAAGGCACTTATTTCCAACTTTTTTTTTACTCAGCGAGATTAAAGAGACTTAACTGCGATAAATCAGTGAGTGGGAAACGTACTTTAATAGTAAGCGGCTTAATTTCAAGGTCACCCTTCTAGATTATAAATCTTGAAACTCCTTTATTCTGCAACGGGCAACTAGTTCTGAAGCTAACACATACATGACCGCATGTCTGTTGCTCGACTCAAGTCCGGATTATTAAAGAGGGCAAACAATGAACCCACTGCCTGCAAACGGTTATAAGACAGCGAAGACTGTGTGGAACAGTTCTGGACTAACAAGAGAAAAAACTTCAAATAAAATCCAGTTTTTATCAACCCACATGACTTATGACTTTTTGTTGCTTCGTATACAGAGCAATATTTGCACTGGCTTTTTTGAAAATCTCCCTGGTTGTGACCATCAGCTTGTGGAAAACGCGAAAACTCTGAGCAAGTTCAACAGCGCCTTGCGGGATGTCCTTTTGAGCCGCTTCTGCGCCAGCGTGCTGCATCTGCCCATCCGCCTTTTCCTCATCTTCGTCATCGTCCACGACCAGTTTACATCTGTAAGTGAACTGCCCCTTCGTTCAAGTAATTATACATATGTACGTAAAATAAACGTGCTGGTGCAGTGTCAAGATGGCAGTGGAAGTCGAAAAAAGAACTTACTTGAGGGCACCTTCCAACCTAGGCAGATAATTCAAAAGCAGATCATCCTGGTAGATGACTCGATCGAAAATGTGATGATTAACAACTTTCCAGCTAATGCCAAACCGCGAGAGATACAGCTCATCCTAAATGCAAAAATCTCACAAAATGTGTCTTTCAGTTGCTTTTTTTTTGAACATTTGGAAGACGTACTGAGTGGATGACAGCACCTAACGAAAAATAATAATAATAACAATAATAATAATAATGATAACAATAAAGATAATAATAACTGTATCTGGCGCGAAATTCGGCAGTAATGGTGCAGTAGGCTTTAATTTTTTAAGTAAAAAATCCAGCATCCAGCTCTTCACTACCCAGCTTCCAGTTTCACTTCATTTCTTGGTTTTAATTCATCCAGTTTTTATTTTTACTCCTAATTATTAGCCTCGTTACAACTTTTTCATAACTACAAAATATTCAAATCAATACTTTTCCATTCAATAGCAATAAAAGTTTTGGAAGGGGGAAAATTTTTTACCAGTCGTTAACTGCCTTCATGCTAAGTGCGCTTTAAGCATTATCGCTGAAGCGTTCAGGCAAACCTACCAAAGGAGCTAACAGCGGTGACATATTCCTTGCTGTTTCCTGCTGACAAGAGAAGCGATCAAGCAACGTTTTGATAAAAAGCTTCGCTCGTTCAATCTCCATCTTTTCCTCATTCGCTCCGGCCTGATAGAGCTGAAACATGGAGTTTAAACGAAACCCAATCAATCATTAAGCACAGGGCCAGGAGACAAACGAAAACCTGGATAAGGGCAGGAACAACTTGAGGGGCTACCAAAATTTGCCATAGATCATCTGATTTCAGGTTCATAACATATTCGTATCCAATGCTTTCCAGTCGTATGTACAGCTGATGCGGATCTTTTTCGGCCAATCTAAATATACGGGACTCAATTTTGTAGTAAAAGTGAATGCTATTTTGATAATGTGCCTGACAGTGTGCCGAGAAAGACAGACGTGATAAGTCAAATAAACAGCCAGCCGCTATTACTTCTAAAAATCACTTCACATATAACAGGGATTTTTTTTGCAAAGACTCTTCAAAAACGGCTTCCTCCGCTTCCTAGACAGGACATCCAATGTAGATCAGTATCAGGCAATTTCTTCACAAAAATCGCTACAGTTCAAAAGCTGCGCAAGGCCGAAGATGCATATGGATAGCATTTCGAGTTCGTTTCCGCCTTTTTGCTGCGCCAGGACGCCTACGAAAAACTACTTAAAATGCTTCTCCGTTCATT